ATTGTATAATTATAAGTATATAGGACGAAGATATATATATTTGCATACAATTTTTTCTCACTTTATCAAACAAAAACGTAATTTATACATTTCGTTTCTGTTTGTATAAGCGAGGGTGGCAAGCGAGATCTGGGAGAGTGGCTAGAGAGATTAGGAGAGTGGCTAGCGAGATTTGGGAGATGGGAGAGAGGGTAACAAAATATATGTATGTATATGATTTTCTCTCGCTTTATACAAAGACAAATGTATTTAATACATTTTATACATAAGCGAGACTGCCACCAAACAAGAGTGGCGAGCGAGATTTCACCAGGGAGAGAGGCAAAAATAGTAATAGTTTGCTATATGGTACAATTAAATCAAAGCATATTTATAGCATTTTTTTTTTGAATTAATAGTTTGTTATTATTTACAATTTTTCAATAAAAAAATTCAACGATAGTTAGACACCCGATTATGAAAAAATCACATAAAATTTATACTAAGGGCTCATTTGGTCATTTGATATGGAATTATGACATGATAAACATAAGTATTTCATAAGTTATAAAACTATTAAAATAGCTCTAATTGTTTATTCAAACTTTTCAAATAAATAAAAGAATATAAGATCACATAATAAATTATTATAAAGCTATTTGTTATCCACTTAAGTAACTATTTCATTTAACTTTAGTTGATCAAACTTTATTTCAATAAAAAGTTTGAAAATAAATCATAGTGTATTAGTCTTTAACCAACATTGTTACTTTGAGTCATTTGTATATCAATATTATCCACAACTATATTTTCATGCTCATAGATCATAAATATTTCATCACTCATTTGATATTCTCACAAATAATTATGTAATAGTGCACAAATTATGACAGTTTTCACTTGTGTATCTATATCATAACGATTCATGACTTGTTTCACTTGTGTGCAATTACACATTTTTAGTCCTTTAATTTCGTGTTAAAAATCAAACATATTTGAAGTAGTGATTATGAAACACACTACATCACAATTATTATTTTTTCATATCAAATTGTTTACACATTTTATATGTAGTTGAAAGAGGCATTTTTTTTAATTATGAAAAAAACAAAAAATATTACCCCCTCATTCACCAAACAATTTTTACTTTATCATTTATATTCATCAAATTTAAGGTAATAATAAATTTTATGTTTGTGAGAATAATTAATTTTAAAAAGTGATGAATTGGTTATATATTTTATTTACATATGAAATAAATTAAATATCGGATTATTTTAATCAAATATAAGTTTGTGAGTCACTTTTTATATTTAAAAATCTCAAATCATGATATGAAATTCTCAAATCATGATTTTTTTTTAAAAAAATAATATAATATTCCATCTCATAATATAAAATCATGAGATAAAATCAACATGAAATTAGATGATGAAATGTTGATTCTATATAATAATATAATATTGCATAGTTAAACACCACTAAATTATTGAGAGATAAGTAGCCACCTAATAGTATCTTCAGTTAATAGTAAATTATTGAGAGATAAGTAGCCACCTAATAGTATCTTCAGTTAATAGTTTGGGTTAAAATATTTCTACCTTAATAGTATGGTCAAACTTATCTAGACAACACAAAATTAGAAACTTTCAGTTATCTTCACTTGCACAAAAAATTAAATCAACATTTAATATTTGTATATATAAATAATGAAGTAATGAAAGAAAATATAAGTGGAACGGAGTGAATTTATGTAATACAAGATGGAGGACTAAAATTGATCTGCACTGTGTTTTACTTTATTTAATTATATAATAATAAATAAAAATTAAATTAGATGGATATAAATACTTAATACGAATAAGTTATTTTTTTCAAAATGGAGTAAATTGAGAACAGATAAAAATGTTATGAAGGATGGGTTGAGAATTGTGTGGAAGAATGGCTTCAAATAAATATATTATTTTTCTCTTTTAAAATATTTTTTCATAAAAATATTTTTTTTACTAGAAATGTTTACCCTATAAAACTATGGTCGTCTAAACTCAGAAAATAGCTAGTTAAACACTTCATATCGATTAGTGGCATGCAAAAATTGAATTAAAAAAGATATTATTGATTTACTGTTATTAGGTTATTGAGTTAATGGATTTTTAATAATTTTATAAAAAAGCTATCGAGTTATTGATTCGCTATTGGTTTTTAATATTGAGTTATTGGATAAATTGATAACTCATTAAAACTAGTAATTTATTACATTTATTTGTATATAAATATTATTATATTAGTCTCGATATCTTATTAGTTAATTACCATCTTTATTCTTTAGCCTTTGATTCACACTTCAAAGTGACTTTAGTTCACAACTACATATTACAAAACGTCAAAATGAAAAGTAAGAGTTCTATTCCTCTTAGTTGTTCTTTGTGTTACACTTGTATAGTTTTTTAATTACATTATTGTGTTTTAGCATCAAATTTATTAGAGAAGTCATATATTTATTTTATAAGTATTTTTTTATTGGATAAATCAAAAATCGAACGTTAAGGACCAAAATCGACAAAAATTCTCTTATTAATTTAACATATTTAAAAATTAAAAATCGATAAACTAAACAAATAATACATAAAATCCAACTGATCAATGCACACTCTAATTTTTACAAGTTAAGCTTTTTTACTACCAGATTAATTTAAGATAAAAACTTATTTTCATCACAACCTAGAGGTGTGCATCAGTTGATTCGATTTAATTTTATGTATAATCAATTTAGTTTGTCAATTTTTTATTTGTGAACATGCTAAATCATTATCCAAATCAATAAAAAAATTTATGATTAGTTGTCGTTTAATCAATTTTTAGTCCTTAACATGGTTTGACTTTTTATTCAATCAGTAAGAAGAAACTCATATCATTATATATACATGACGTTCATAAAATAAAAATAATAAATAGAATAAAAGTGCAGCAGAAATTTCTATGTGATCACCTTTATTTGCGATAAAATTGTTTGAATTTTTTCTAAAGACTTATATCTCTTTCTTTATATAACAATTGAACATTAAAATGAAGAAGAGAGACTGTGTCTCAATAGAACGTGCCTTCAAACCAAAAGTTGTACTGAAATTTAGGGAATATAGTTGGTAAAATATTCAAGTTCATATGATTAAAAGTAAAACTTAGGATATTGATTTGACTATTAATCAAAATGATAAAACTGAACATTAAATTGATAATCTATAAAAAATAATTATAAAATCGTTTAGAAAGTATTAACTCAATAACATAATATTAAAAATATATATATATATATATATTCAATTTGATTTATTAATTTTGCAGATGCTTTCGTTTCTTAATTAGGCAAATACTATTTTGATCCAAGAGGTTCAATTAATCTTTCTTGGCAAAATGTTATACAACTACATAGATAATAAGTTATTATTTTTTGCTATATATAAATTGTACGTAGAATATGCCCAATAGGAAAAAGATTCCAATGCAGTGATGAATGAAATTTTCAGCTTATCCTACGTTACAGTTCAAAATAAGTTACGTCACTCTGTTACATAATACTCCACTGTGTTTTTTTAATTATATAAGATACGACACTCTAATATATTAATATTTTTAAAAAAAATATTATGTTGGAATTTTTTACTTTTGCTACTATATTTAATATTTATTTGTTTAGTTTTATTATATCTTTTATTTATTTTTGCTTGCCTATTATATTATTTGAGTAATTTTCGTAGATAGTCATTAATGTTTAGGAAATTACCTAAACACTGGTAATCAAATGTTGTACTGAAATTTTGAAAATGTTTGCAAAATGGGGGTACTTTTTTTTCATTCTTTTTTAAAATTTATCTTTGTATATCTAAAAAAAATATTTTCAAAAAACATAAACAGACTTTTTAAAAAAAACATATTGCAACCTAATATTTAAATAGGTTTAAAGAATATTTTTTTGTAATAAAAAAATAAAAAAATGTGAGGGCACCCTAGTAGGAGAGAAATAATGTATTTTTTTTGTGTCAAATATATTTTGAGGAAGACCTAGTAAGATTTTAACGAGGCACATAATCTATGGATATCCAAGGGGGTGTGTTCTAAATCCATTGTATATGTGGATGATCCATTAGAGTTATCCAACAATTAATTGGATTCATGTATTAGTGTTTCTAATGTGATAAGATATCAAGGTGATATGAACCTTGATGATAACTTTGTAAAATTTCAAGGTAACCTTTGACTATGATATCTCAACGCTATAAATAGATATATCATTCACCATTGTATGACATGCTTGAATAAGAAAATTATCTCCTCTTTCTTATACTTCTTGTCTTTTTCTTCGTATATTCTAAGCTTTCTTTACAACAAATAATAATTATTTATTAATTTTATAAATTAATTTTTAGATATTTTAAAATAATATAGAGTAATTTTTCTAGATAGTCATCCATGTTTGGGAAATTATTTAAAAATATCACTTATGTTTGTTTTAAGACCAAAATATCACCCAACTTTGCCTATAAAAACCCAGTGGAAAAAAGCCTAGTGAAGGAAAAAGAGTACACATATCTCATAATACGCTTTGAATGTTGCCTCGTTAAAAACCTTACCAGGAAAACCCAACTTGGGACAAAACCATAGTTAAGGAAAAGAGTACAACGCGTATTTCACTCCCCCTAATGAAAACTTTACTTGATATCTCGGAGACGACGCATTCCAATCTTGTATCTCAACTTCTCAAACGTTGATGTTGGCAATGCCTTAGTGAATAAATCAGCAAGATTATCACTTGAACGAATTTGTTGAACTTCTATCTCACCATTTCGTTGAAGATCATGCGTGAAAAAGAACTTTGGTAAGATATGTTTTGTCCAGTCTCCTTTGATGTATCCTCCTTTCAATTGAGCTATACATGCAGCATTATCTTCGTACATTGTGGTTGGTATATTATTTTTCAAAGAAAAACCACATATTTCCTGAATATGATGAGACATTGATCTCAACTAGACGCACTCTCGAATTGCTTCATGGATGGCTATTATTTCTGCATGATTTGAAGAAGTGACTACTAACGTTTGTTTCATTGATTGCCAAGATATTGTCGTGTCTCCACATGTAAACGAATAGCTTGTTTGTGATCGAGCTTTATGCGGATCTGATAAATACCCTGCATCTGCGTAACCAATCAGTTCTGATTTGGATTCATTGGAATAGAACAAACCTATGTCCATGGTCCCTCGAAGATATCGAAGTATGTGTTTAACACCATTCCAATGTCTTTTTGTTGGGGAGGAACTGAATCTTGCCAGTAGACTTACTGCAAAACAGATATCTGGTCGAGTATTGTTAGCAAGGTACATTAGTGCCCCGATCGCACTAAGATAAGGAGTTTCATCACCAAGAAGCTCTTCATCGTTCTCTTGAGGTCGAAATGGATATGTATTAATGTCAAGCGATCTTACCACCATTAGAGTACTCAATGGATGTGAGTTATCCATGTAAAAATGTTTTAGTATCTTTTCTGTGTACGTTGATTGATGAACAAGTATTCCATTTGACAAATTCTCAATCTGTAGGCCAAGACAAAATTTTGTCTTGCCGAGATCTTTCATTTCAAATTCTTTTTCAGACACTCAACAGCTTCTAAAAGCTCTTTACGAGTGTCAATGATGTTCAAATCATCAACATACACAACTATTATTACAAATTCAGACCTCGACCGTTTAATGAAAATGCAAGGACAAATCGGATCATTTTTGTACCCTTTCTTTAACAAATATTCACTCAGATGATTGTACCACATCCTTTCTGATTGTTTCAATACATACAGAGATAGATGAAGCTTTATTGAACAAGTTTCTCTTGAATCTTTGTATGCTTCAGGCACTTTGAATGCTTCAGGAATTTTCATGAAAATGTTGTGGTCCAATGAGCCATATAGATAGGCTGTGACAATGTCCATTAGAAGCATTTCAAGTTTTTCATGAACTACCAGATTTATGAGATATCTGAAGGTGATTGCATGTACCACTGGAGAATATGTCTCCATATAATCAATGCCAAGTCTTTGAGAAAAACTTGAGCAACGAGTCGGGCCTTATATCTCATGACTTCACCTTTCTCATTTCTTTTTCGTACAAAAATTCATTTGTACCCCACTGGCTTGATACCTTCAGGTGTTCAGATTATCGTTTCAAAAACTTCACGTTTTTCTAGTGAAGGCAATTCAGCTTGAATTGTATCCTTCCATTTTGGCCAATCATTTCTCTGTCTACATTTGTGAACAGATTTTGGCTCAAAATCTTCATCTTGTTGCATTATTTCAATAGCAACAATATAGACAAATATGTTGTCAATCACAACATTATTTCGGTTCCACAACTTTCTCGTCGAGACATAATTCATTAAAATTTCATTATTTTCAGAAGTTCGAACCTCCTCATCATCATGTGTTATAACTTGGGTCTCATCTTGAGAAATTTCTTTCAACACATGATCATCCTGATCATTTATTCCTTTTCTTTTTCAAGGATTTTTATCCTTGGAACCAATTGGTCTACCACGCTTCAAATGTGGTCTACACTCATTTGCCTTAACAATTCGTCCCGTTGAGATATCAACTCGAACTGGAGCATTAACAGCTGGAATATGCGATTAAGTAATCCTTGGAAGATTAGTAAATGCATCTGGTAGCTGATTTGCAATGTTCTGCAAATAAATTATTCTTTGAACTTCTTGCTCACATTGGTTTGTTCGAGGATCCAGATGAGATAGAGATGATGAATTCCAATCTATCTTTTTTCCCAATGACTTATGTTCTCCCCCTAATGTTGGGTATACTGATTCATCAAAATGACAATCATCAAATCTTGTCTTAAATAAATCATCAGTCATAGGCTCCAAATATTTTATGATCGAAGGAGATTCATACCCAACATATATCCCCAACCTTCTTTGGGGCCCCATCTTTGTGCGTTGTGGTGGAGCAATTGAGACATACACCGCACATCCAAAAACTCTAAGATGGAAAATGTTTGGCTCTTGACTAAAAGTCAATTGTAATGGGGAGAATTCATGATAATTGGTTGGTCTTATGCGCACAAGTGCTGCTGCATGCAAAATAGCATGCCCCCACATAGACACAGATAACTTTGTTCTCATTAGTAATGGTCTAGCTATCAATTGCAGACGTTTAATCAATGATTCTGCTAGACCGTTTTGAGTGTGAACATGCGCAACTGGATGTTCAACTGTTATACCAGTAGACATACAATAATCATTAAATGCCTGAGATGTAAACTCACCAGCATTATCTAGACGGATTGCCTTTATTGTATAGTCTGGAAATTGTGCTTACAATCTTATTATTTGAGCCATCATTCTCGCAAAAGACATGTTGCGAGTTTGATATAAACACACATGTTACCATCTTGTAGAAGCATCTATCAAGACCATATAATATTTAAAGGGTCCACATGCAGGTTGAATTGGTCCACATATATCACCATGTATACGTTCCAGAAACGCAGGAGATTCAATTCTAACCTTAACTGTTGATGGTTTAATGATCAACTTTCCTTGAGAACAAGCAGCACAAGAGAATTCCTTTGATTGAAGGATATTTGGGCTCTTTAAGGTGTGCCCATGTGAAATCTCAATGATTTTGCGCATCATATTAAATCTAGGATGGCCCAATCGGTCATGCCAAATGATAAAATCATTAAAATTACTAAACCTTTTGTTTACTATGGCATGTGATTCAACTGTAATTATACTTGTATAGTACAACCCAAAAGAAAATGCAGGTAATTTTTCATGCACAATTTTCTTCTCTACATTAATTGTAGTAATGTAAAGGTATTCAACCTTTCCTTCATTAGTCGTCTCAACATGATAGCCATTTTGGCGAATAACTTTGAAACTTAATAAGTTTCTTTGAGACTTACTACAATATAATGCATTATCAATGCTTAATATTGTCCCTCCAGGTAGTAATAAGGTCGCTCTTCCAGAACCCTCAATTAATTTTGTACTACCTGATATTGTGTTGACATATGCCATTTTCATAACCAAATTAGAAAAGTATTTCTTTTCTTTTAATATTGTATGCGTTGTAGCACTATCAAGATGGCATACATCTCTATTACTCATCTTGAATCCAACTGACAACTGGGGATTTCTATTAATTTTCATTAAAATAAAAAACATCAAAAGAAGGAAGAAACAAAATTAACAATGGAAATTTAAATACTTCAACATGAATAACATAATAATTAAAAATACATAAGTAAAATATTAACAAACTTCATTCTCCAGCTAAAAGATCAAACATCAGTTTCGATCTTCAAAGAAGTCATCAACTTCCATATGAGTAATGTCACCAATGCCATCAAAAACATCATCCTTTAAAGCCAAATTTTCTTCAACATCCTTATCATATTTCTGAGATGTTCCCGACTTATCATCATCTTTAAGAGTCATATGTGACTCAGCTCGAGCATTGGAAAAGGAAGCACCACTTTTATTTACTTTCTTTTTAAGGAATTTTGATAGAGCCTTACAAAATGTTCATGTGTGCGACATTCATTCTTCCAATGGTATTTCATGCCACAACGACGACAATTACCTTTTGAGGGGTTATTTTGAGAACTCATGTGGTTCCCCCTTTTATTATGACTACCACCTTGACGATTAGTGTATCGTCTTTTATCTTTGTCACGTCCCCGTGCATTATTATATCCCCGATGATCATCTCTTTTTACTTCAGATTGATCACGTGCTTCCACCACATTTGCCTCCGGTAATGGAGCAGCTCCAGTGGGACGAGCTTCATGATTTTTCATTAAAAGAGCATTATGTTGCTTAGCCGCCAAAAGACATGAGTTTAGTTCAGAATATTTCTAAAAACTCTTTTCACGATTTTGCTGCTGCAATATCACATTTGAGGCATGGAAAGTAGTAAGTGTCTTTTTCAACATGTCCTCATCTTTTGTAGTCTCCCCTTTAAATCAGTCCACAATTCAAGTGGATCTTTCACCGTCAGATATTCAATCTTCTGGCCCTCATCAAGATGATGACGAAAGAAAATCATAGCCTTCGCCTTATCTTGACTCGATGCTTCATTTCCCTGAGTAATAGTGACATCAAGACCTTTAGCAGCCAAGTGAATCTCAGCATCGAGTACCCATGAAAGATAATTCTTTCCAGAAATATCTAATGCCACAAACTCAGTTTGGATAAATTCGACATAATGAAAATTATGAGAGAATATGTGAATTAAATAAAAATATTTATATAATACCTTTGCAAGTAGCAATTTCGTGCTGATAACGTGTTGTAAAGAAAGCTCAGAATATAAGAAGATAAGACAAGAAGTATAAGATAGAGGAGATAATTTTCTTATTCAAATATGTCATACAATGGTGATTTATAGTGTTGAGATATCATAGTCAAAGGTCACCTTGAAATTTTACATAGTTATCATCAAGGTTCATATCACCTTGATATCTTATCACATTGGAAACGCTAATACATGAATCCAATTAATTATTGGATAACTCTAATGGATCATCCACATATACAATGAATTTAATTATTTATATTTTATCATCATGTATTTATTATATCGCTACTATTGAATATATTCATTTTTCAAAATTTAAATGACTTACATTGAATAGGACTATAGGAATAGGAGTGTTGATAAAATTATCATATCATTTACTACTCACTTTAAGTCCATTAAATAAAGAAACTACAACAATCAATATAATAAATCTATAAATTGCATTGATTGTTTTTAAAGGGTGTACAAAAATTCATTATAGACGAGTTTTTTTAATTAAGTAACAATAATATTTCGATATAATACGAAATTTAATTAATACAATTTTGCATCCCTCTAACTAAAAGAAAATGTTTTGTATATTAAAAAAGATATCCAAAATTATGGACAAATAAAAAATAAATAGCTTAGTATGGGCGGCGGCGGCAGGGTTGGCGAGGTTGAATATTATTTATAACTAATTTAGTAGAAACAAAGGGGATGAACAACGTGAATATTCTGGTTGATGACTTGAGAATTTTTTATTTCTTTTTCTGCGTCTCTTCAATTATTTTTTTCACTTATAAAATATTCTAAGGCAGTAAACTAATTCACTCAGGGTGTATTTAGTAGAAAATAAAATATTTTTCATTTCTCAGTGTTTAGTTGATTGAAATATTTTTAAAATTAATTCATTAAAAAGAAATTATTTATTATGTTGTTTTTACCTCTACCCCTACCCCCACCCCACCCTCCCAATTGTTTTTAAAAATACTTCAAGTTTTTTTAAAAAGATTAATTTTATACCACTTCCATCTATTGTTTTTAAAAAAAATTAAATTTGAAATATTTTTTCATTTATAAATTAAATATTAAAAACGTTGTATACACAGCAATTGAATATTAAAAAATATGTATGGTATA